GGTTTTAGATGGGCAGTTGGTCAAGTGTTATGACTACCTACTGACTGTCGACACGCACAAATCAATGTACATCCAGCGGATATGTAAACAGCTCGCTAATTCCTAAGGCCACAAAAGATTCGTTGCCCAATCCTTTACATTTATTTCACTTTCTCTATTGTTTCAAGAGTCAAATTGTAAACAATTAACCACTGGGGTCTGCAAGCAGTTATCGAGTGTTTTAAGTCAATAGTGAAAGAATAAACAGTGCGACAATTGTCTATGTGTCAATCATCTCAATTCATTGTTGCCGCTGATTGTGTATCGACACAGCTACAGTAGTAAAACACAACATATGATAACTTGATTGTACATGTCATCGTTATGGGGTTCTTCCCACGCTGGATGATGTGGGACGGCAACGTCCGGCATTCAGAATTAGCAACCTACACACATGGCTGCCATCCTGCACTATTGTTTTTGTCCATGACGCAACAAACGCACTGGAAGACCGTCTGTCTGCATGGGCACTGATTACTGAAGCCAAAAATAGAAATTTCATTATTTTTGGCTCTAGAAATCACCTCCCATATATTTTAATGTACCGGTAATGCTAATATTTGTGTACTTTTGTAAATTGAACACATTGCTTTTCATGGTCATGGATTATTTGCAAGACGTATAAATCAAACTGAACATTCTGTAAAATATTGATTTCAAAGACTGCAAATTATCCTATGTTTATTTGTGTGTTTTTGTGTGAAATGAAACTGTTTCTAAAATAAACTTTTTACAAGTCTGTTTGTTAGTTTGGTTTTGTATAGTATGACAGTATATATGCAGTTATCCTGAAAAGTATTTATGCCTGTCAACTTCAATAACGATTTTGATGATTTTACTTTGCAATATTGAAATGCCGATCACTCTCTGGTATTTTGTATTGGTTTCAAAACAAAGTCTTAGACAGCAATGTCTATGTTATTCAACAAGATCAACTGAGTCACCATTTACATGAACTTAAATTTATGGCAAGCATGAAAAGTTACTTGAGGCTTGAAAATTCAAATAATTATTCAAAAAATTCAAATACTACATTGTATGATGTAGATCCAGAGTTATGGGAACTAGAACTAGAAATTGGTGAAGTTAACTGAAGTATCATGGATTATTTAAATACCTGTTGATTGTTTTTAAGAGAAAGAAAGATTGTACCTTGGTGTTGCGGAACGAGACAATATAGAAGGTTGTGATGGCAGTTATGAAAGAATGAGTGTTGATGCCAGACTGTGGTAGTGGGAGAATTCATTGAACATTTAAATTAAGGATCCTCTCACTAAGTGGAAGTGTGTGTACATGTACATGTAGATGCGTAGACTTGTCCAAAAATTTGTCAATGACAACAACATTACCTATCCCGAATCGACAAATGCTTTGTACCATCTATACCATGGTACTGTATGCATGTGTTGTTAAATACATAAGAACAACCTGAAGCATGTACACTGTGTACACAATATGGTAATAACTTTAATGAGGTTGTGATGTAGACATATCTTGAGAATATTATTAGCTCCGCTGTCGACTTTGTCGAGCGGAGCTTATCATACGAGTGATTGTCCATCGTCCGTGTCAATGTTTTACTTTTTCGTCTTCTTCTTGAAAACTACAAGCCTGAATGCTTTGATACTTGGTGTTCATGTACCTTGGGTAGACCTCTCTCAGATTTGTTCATTTCATGATGATATCTTCAATTCTCTAATTTTGGTGAATATTTTTGTCATTTTTAGTAAAAATTGATATTTTTAACTTCTTGTTAAAAACCGCAAGTCCAATTGCTTTGATATTACATATATAGGTACTACATGTGGACCTCTCTCAGATTTGTTCATTTTGTAATGATATCTTTAATTCTCTAATTTTGGT